ACCAGAATAAACTCCAGGCACAGTTGGGTTCAGCTGAAGATGGTGATGATCATGGAGTGTTTTGTTTCTGAGATAAAGCAAAAAATGATCACAATAAAAAAACGACAAAGTAACTTTGTAAAGCCTGCAAGCGTCCAGAGCACTGTACGTACTGCCAAGGCCCGTGAGGAGAGAACATGGGTCGCACACGCCAAGAGGAGCCAAAAATGTTGAAGGACTTGGAGAAGCAGTCATTGTAAATCAGTCCAGTATATATGGAGAACATTCCCATGAGCAAGATCATGTAGCGTCCACCGACCAGGACATCTATAATCTGGGAGAAAAATCAAAGCTTACAAGACTCTGACCAGGGTTAAAAGTGATGTTATTATGCAAACAAAAACTATGAGACATATTCAACACCTCATTTTTCATCTTTCGTAAACATTCGGCCTGTGTAATGAGCCAGACTGCGAACAGTGTCATCACCAGTCCATGACCACAATCTCCAAACATCACCGCAAACAGGAAGGGGAAGGTTACAATAGTGTATGGAGCTGAGAAAATAAATGAGTATTTATAAATAAATAATTACATACATTTTATACATATATGCAGTACACAGACACATAGATAGATAGATAGATAGATAGATAGATAGATAGATAGATAGATAGATAGATAGATAGATAGATAGATAGATAGATAGATAGATAGATAGATAGATAGATAGATAGATAGATAGATAGATAGATAGATAGATAGATAGAATGGATGGATCAGAAATGATATAGAAGATTAGCAAGCGTAACAGCCAATCACCTGGATTGATCTCCTGATAGGTACCGACACCATAGGCGTCAATGATGGCCTGGAATCCTTCAGTAAATGTGTTGGTTCTGTTGAAGGTTGGTGGAGTTTGCTGGGTTTGGATGCGGTTCAGGACTGGGGTCACACTGGAACCACTCTGCTCCTAAAACAAACAGTACAAATAGTTTGAGAGTTAAGAGTATGAAACTACTTCCAAAGAGTCAAATTTACAGTATAAATATTTAAAAAAATATTCCATTCAAGTAAAGTACATCATTTGTAATTAAAATCAGTTTAACTTTAACATTTATATTCAATATGTACATTTACATATTAGATTTAGAATTTATTAGTGGTTTATTTATTTATTGAAACATTTCTCATTCTGCAATATTTAGTATTACTGTTTTGTTTTACATTTTTATTTCTATCTCTTAACCCTAAAACCGTATTCTGGACAAATGTGGACAAATTTGCCTTCTGAATACACACTTTTTTTTTTTACTCAATTCTACAACGTTAAGTGGGTGAAAAAAAAAAACTCCTTAATCTTGTATTTGGGTCAAAAATGGGCACCCATAGAAATGAATGGGAAAAACTGTAATTTAGAGCATTCTAAAATACGCCTAAATAAGACACCAGGTGACCGCAAAGTCACTTCATCTTTAGGTTTTACCTCTAAGAACTTATTGGAATGATATTTTAATGTAGTTAAAAAAAAACTACATAGTAATTCATTTACATAGAAATAATTTACATAGAAAATATGGTACTTTTTAAAGTAAATAAATTCAAAAATACCCCCAAAATAAAAATAAATAAATAAACTTTATCGATGATAGTGATATAACGTTTATAATAAATAAAAATAGGTGATAGGATCACACCTGAGTCTTCTGTGCCCACATTTGTCCACAATTACAGGATTAAGGGCTATAAAGTGAATAGGGTTTGAGGGCTATATAAACATACATACTGATCCCATAATCAGGGCGTTTTGAACTAAAGTGAGATCTGACACGGGACACCAGATCTCTGCTACGATCAGCTTTTGCGTGATGTCGATGTTGCAGAGATTCAGTGTGTAGTAGATGGCCTTCATCTTCTTCACTTTACTGCCCCACTCCTGGACGTGGTCGGCTGCTCTGGTCAAGACACCACCGCGATATTCTTCGGTTCTTCTCAGGATCTTTCGGAAAAAAACAAAACATGGACATAGCCATTCCCTACGTTTATTTTTGAATATCGATCATTGGTGGATGAACACACTTGAAAAGACACCTGGAGAGTAAAAAATCATTTGACTCACCATTCGAAGATCTTCCATACGTGACTTTACGTTGTTGCTCATCTTCTTGCGCTCATTCAAAGTTTTGGGGCATGAGTACAAACTGGCATGAAATCTTAAAAGATTTGGAGGAGTAATCATTTATGAGATCATTTCACAAAATTAAAAACAAATCAAGCAAATGCAAATAAAGCCATCAGATAAAATTAGTCATTCATATTTAATGGATTGTTTTGACCAAGTTAAACTGCAACTGTCATTCTGTAAATATAATGACATAAATATCATTAAAACAATTCAATTAGTCAAGACACTGATTGTCTAACCATGTTGAAAAAGTTAAATAAATTTTTAGTTCATTTGTGTTATTATTTTTTTGTCTTTACTTTGATTCATCTTATTTTCACTGGTGTTATTGTTAGTGAACTCCTTTTTAATTTGTAAAATAAAATGAAATGTTGAAATAAAGATTTGAACAGAATTTTCTAAGTCAACATTGTTTCAAAGAATATATCTATTGCTGTTAGCTATATAACGTGAGTGGAAATACCATGTCTCTCACCCTTCACACACTTTCCTGATCTTTTCCCGCACATGTTCTCCCTGGACAAATATGATGAACACGTCCTTCTTCACAGCTCCTCTCTGCTTAAAAGAAACATACTTAGGCTACGTTCACACTGCAGGCTGAAACGACCTAATTCTGATTTTTTTGCCCCTATGCGACCTGTATCTAATTTTTTCATGACAGTCTGAACGACACAGATCCGATCTTTTCAAATGCGACCCAGGCCACTTGGGTATGTGGTCTAAATCCGATATGAATCCGATCTTTTGAAATGCGACTTCAATCTGAACGGCCAGGTCACATATATCCGACCCGCACGTCATTGCACGCACCTGTAGCTAGCCAATACACGCTAACTCCAACGCGTTTCTGCTCTGTTATGGGGCGCTGCAGACGTGTCTCTTCCCCAGTGTTGTGCCTGAACGCGTTCAATGAACGATATGCATGAACGCGTTCATATACTGTATTACTGCCTGATGAACATTACTGTGAACACGTTCATTCTGGTGTCTGTGAACGTGCGCTCTCTGTCAGTTTAACTTCGTACAGTAGGGTGCCAGATTGATTATAGAGCCTTCCAGGCGAAAACCTGGCTAAAACCATAAAACACATATATACATGCCTTAAAATGTAGCGAAAAAACACCCAATCTGGCAACACCAGCCACCAGTGTCGCACCGCGGCCGCCGGTGACAAAGCAAGGAGCGCCGAGGACGCGCACTATCAATTAAACGGGTTTTATGACGAGGTCGGTGAGGATCAGAAAAATCTTACGTTTATGTGCAAACTTTGCCCGTCGATAAAATAATTGTTGTCTGTGTTATGGGCTGTGGCAATAATAATAATAATAATAATAATAATAAACACAAGCTCGCAACAATATGGAAAAAAAAACTATTCTGCAAACAACAAGTGACGTCGTTGACCGTTGATTACTCTTCTGCGCATGCGGGTCACTTCTGGGTCATTTCACGTTCACACAGGAGATCACAAAAGGTCGCATTTAATTGGAAATGTGAACGGCCTTGCAAAAAAATCGACTTTTTTCAAAAAATCGGAATTGAGCATTAAGCCCCGCAGTGTGAACGTAGACTGTGCATTAGTTTATTCATCATAAATAGAGAAATATCACATACAAGTAAAAGTAGTCACACGTGCGGTGTGTACTGATAATCTGAGAGCAAGCTTGTATGAGCAGCGAGTACATATTGATAGACAGATAATGGATTCTGGTGTTGGATGGCACTTATGTTGCAGAAGTGTTAAAAGGGTCATGAACTGGCTTTTTAAATTTTATGGTCTGAGGTCAACTTTTGTTGTTCGCTTGTTTTTCTCAGAAACATCTAAATGAATAAGTAATATCCCAGATAGCAAACTGACATTGAATCAACGTGGAAATATGACATCGAAACAACGTTGATCTGACATCGTTTTGCTCATCGAATTAACGTTGAACCAACGTCAGACGTGTCATTCTTTCAAAACTAACGGAAAATCAACTTGAAATCAACACGTTGTTTCAACGTTATGAAAGCGAACCAATTTTCGATTTTCATTTAGCTTTGAAGAATGCCGCGTCTGACGTTGGTTCAACATTAATTCGATGAGCAAAATCAACGTTGTTTCAATGTCATGAGAGACGTCGTTTCCACGTTGATTCAATGTCAGTTTGCTGTCTGGGATAGGCCGGGTTAGCATGTTAAAAACTTCAAAAACTTGATTTTCATCACCGGGGGTCTTTAAAATACCCATTAAAAATATTGTCTCACCACCACTTGGAGTTCGTCTGTGGTCTGTATCTCTGCGTGCCGAAGGACGAAATTTCCATGAAAAAGGCGCCAAAGAACCTTTTCAAAAGCAGGAAACCTGTCTTGTTTGATAACACCTGCAACAAAACTTAAAATGCGTACAGATAGGCCTATGGCATTAGCAGTACAATTAGGTCAGGCTGTAAAAAAAAAAAATTTGTGTTGTCTTTAAAATCTTTATTTTAAAGCGTGTATGTATCAGTTGGACAAAATCTTTTAAACGTACCCTAGATTTAGAGGTCCGGAGGTGCTGGCACTGCTGTATCTGCGGCAGGTTAAGTAGGACGAGACGGTCATTGACACCGAATCTTCAGACGGAGGCTCAGAGCATAGCAGTAACTCGGCCTGCACACAAGCAATTGTCAACACAGCTTTAGTACATCAGGCTGTCCATGGTAACCTTTCGCTTTCATTGCATGGAAATGAGTATTATGGACAACTCCTTTCAATCACGCAAGTTTGGAACAACATGAAGGCTAGTAAATGATGAAAGAATTTGCATTTTTTAGGTAAACTATCACCTCAAGCAGTTAAAAATTGTCCATTTGAATCTTAGATAGATGCCGTGAAGGTGAAACGCCCTGCAGATCAAGCTTGAATAAACCAAATTGATAAATGTATTAAAGGAGTAGTTCACTTTTTAAAAAAAACTTTTGCTGATCCAAGATGTCCACGTCTTTCTTTCTTCGGTCGAAAAGAAATGAAGGTTTTTGATGAAAACATTTGAGGATTTTCTCCATATAATGGACTTCATTGGGAACCAAACGGTTCAAGGTCCAAAAGACAGTTTCAGTGCAGCTTCAAAGGGCTTTAAACGATTCAAGACGATGAATAAGGGTCTTATCTAAGACCCTTGGAGTCATGACTCAAAGAAAAGATTTGTTCATTTTGATGAAGGAGTTTGAACAGGAAAGTCACGAACGTGGATCACAGAAGAGAAAAAAAATATTTTTTTATTTATTTTTTAAATGAGCGATCGTTTCGCTAGATAAGACCCTTATTCATCGTCTGGTGTCATTTAAAGCTCTTTGAAGCTGCACTGAAACTCTCATTTGGACCTTGAACAGTTTGGTTCCCATTAAAGTCCATTATATGGAGAAAATCCTGGAATGTTTTCATCAAAAACCTTAATTTCTTTTCGACTAAAGAAAGAAAGACATGGACATCTTGGATGACATGGGGGTGAGTAAATTATCAGCAAAAGTTTTTTTTAAAGTGAACTAATCCTTTAAGCATGAACTGAGGCCTTAAATTCAGCATGAAACTTTTCTTTACTATTGTGATGTATATTCAATTGAAACAGAATACTACTCTTACTATTTCTGCCATAGAAAGATATAAAAAATAGAAATATCTTTTATTTCAAATTATTTTGAACTAGTACTAAAATTACTGAAACTAAAACTTAAAGAAAAATATATTTAAGATATTTAAAAAAGAAACTAATACAAATTACAAAAGCACAAAAAACTACCTAAAACTGAAATGAAAAATACAAATATAAAAATAGAATTTCAAAATAATGAATGCTACAATAGTAGGCCTATATAAATATATAAAATAACACGGATTTAGGATTAAATGGTTCTGAGATCTCGAGATCTTCACCTCCTCAAAGAAGTCTTCAGTCATCCTCAGCAGAGAGTCGATGTCCATCAGCTCAATGAGGTTCTGTCTGAGGGTGTCATGGTTACAATTGATTTCTCGCAGCTCCTGCTCCAACTTCTCAAATGTGGACTAAAGGTTTGAAGACAATCATTATGTCTGAATTTCTGTTTGTGTGTCAAATTGTTATACAGAGTAAGAGAGAAGGGGTTTATTTGGTCAAAGCAGTGATTAACCAATCACAATCAAGTATAGCAGAATAATAATAAAAAAATGACAAGTGTTGTTTTCACCTCCAGCTCCAGAACATCTCTGGGACAGGGAACCATCTCCTTCTCCTTTGTTACAGCAATTACAATGTTAGATTTCACCATCTCCTTCTCAAGATATCCTAAATAATGTACAATTTCAAGAGAAAGCAACATGACTATATTTGAAGTAAGATAAATATATCCAAAGGCTTTCAAATTAATCTAGAGAACAATGTTGGGGAAAGTTACGTTTAACCCTCTGAGGTCGGCAAACGCGGCACCGGGTTTAAATATGAATCGCGCAAGAAGACTTTAAATATGAATCGGGTGTGTGGGTGTGTGAACGAATGAACGCACAGATCCATAGGCCTACTGGTTGTTAAATTATTTATTACCAAAAGAATACATTCTCACCCAGAATAAAAATGGTAATTTACTCAATAATAACATGTACTTATTGTCTGTGTAATTATACAAATTAAAATTATTCAATTTTGGAACAACATAAGATTTAGTAGACTATGACAATTATATTTTATGTGTGAATTGTCCCATTTTTGTCAAATAGTGTTTCTTTTTCAAACAGGACATGCGTAAACCAGTAATATTACGGGTAATTCTTGATCAGAACTCCATTCGCAAACTTCACCTCCCCTCTGGAATTCCAGATACCTGCGTGAAGTTGGAGTCAGTAGACATTTCAGATATATAAGGGAACTTTCACAGCAAAATTCCCAGTGTTAAGTTAACACTCCTGGTGTACATATGGGTCCAACTCCAGGGTGTTAAAAATGAACACTGAAGCAACTGAAGTTAATGAGATAGTTAAATGATTAATTAAGTGATGATTGGCCATTAGTGGTGACACCTGATGTTAATAAGAAGAATCAATGAAACAACAAGAACAGAAAAAACAGAAACACAAGAACTACTGACCTCGAGCCATTACACATTATTGTACTTATTATTACCAGTGTATTTCTGTCATCTACACACATTCTTATTTGTATTGAACAGAAGTTTAGATGATGATGTTTTATGGAATGTTTCGTTTCATGTCACCATTATGGTGATCTGTGTTTGCTTTAGTTGGGCTCTTGACCCTTTGCTTTTTAACATTAGTTTTTTCTCTGGCTGCTCTAACTCTGTGTTTATAAAGCACATATGTTACTGGAAGAGAAACCACGACATGGACTGTGTTTCCCGAAAGCCAAATTTGATCGTACAGACCTTTGGTTGCAATTGTTCTACGATCAGGTTAGGCTTAAAATGCTTTTGGGAAACACAGCCCAGGTCATGATGGTTATGTTTAAATGATGAAATTAAATATTGTAGTGTCTTGATTCACTCAACCAGCATTATAAACTGAGTAAATAGAGGTTCTATTCATTTTCATTACAGTAGCTAATTTCAACAGTGCTTTACTAATTCTGAAGGTTTTAAAATCCCACACAGATATCAAGAATCTACATACTAATCTCCAGAATGGTGACAATCACACAATAGTTTCATGTTGCAGTGCATGATGGGAGCCACCAGTCAAAATGCATCCATGGCTTCCACCATGCATTGCAGTATGGTTATGTTTAAATGATGAAATTAAATATTGTAGTGTCTTGATTCACTCAACCAGTTGTTCACTCAAATTATGCAGCTGAATTGTCCTGTAGTTTTCATTGTTTTTCCTGTTTGTGTTTTATTTTGCTATTGTTTTGTTATGACTGTAATAGCTTCTTTTGTGATGTTCAGGATTGATCTTTGTGTCAGTAGTTTGTTTATTGTCACCATTGTTGTGATTCGTATGCTAATTCTTGATGTTTGTGTGTCTAAACAGAACAGCTTAAGTGAATTTTCAAACTTGTTCACATTGCTGTTGGATCTCAAACTGAAGAAACTACAATCTCCAATGTTAAAACACAATCTCACTCACATTGTCAAAGATTTAGACTCTGAATGACATCATTCAATCAGGTCACAATATGTTGATAACATCATCATCACAATATATTGTTAACCGGTTCTCTCAGGCAATAACAAATGTGCTTTACATACACAATGTTGGAGCAGCCAAACTAACAAAAAGAAATAAAAAAGGGTCAAGAGTTAAAGTTATTTTTGCTTATTAGTTATTTTTGCTTATAAAGTTTTTTTTTTTGCTTATTAGTATGGTTGAATTGGATCATTAAAATAACTTGCGTTATTTGAAAAAGGAAGTCGGATATTTTGTAGAAGTAATGCGTTACTTGAAAAAAGTACACGCAACTCACGTTACTTGTGATACGTAACACTACCTGGGAATATGATTCAAGTGTAAATCAGTTTTATTGTTAGATCACATCTGCACTATATGTAAAACAGAGAAGATAGTCTACATTTTTGCAATATTAAAATGGCTTAAAAATGTATACAATTTACAGCACAAATGTTGTGAGATCAGAATTAGGGCTATCGTAAGTGTTCAGTATCAATAAATACAATAAACCAGCTTGTTATAATAAAATATACATTCTTACTCAGAATTCTCTCCATTTCTTCACATTTCTTCACTTCCTTCACAAAGTGCCTCTGAAATGTGGTTACACCAGGATTCAGCTAAAAGATCATAAAAAAATAAATAAAAAAATACACGATTTCGACATAATTTACAGAACCAGTTTTTCTTGCTCTGCAGTGTTATGCATTGATCGATTCAGCCAATGGTGAGAAATCAAATAATGTGACACTACAAGCTCAATACAAACTGAAAAATGATGTAGTGAGTATGCAAAAGAAAGTGTGCATGCTGCTAAAAGAAATCAATGCTATTAAGGTTATTCGACAATCTGACAAATTAATCTTCCATTTTAACATTTTAACTATAAAATAAGCACTAAGCAGCTCATGGCCTGATGCTCAAACAATGTAATTTCAGTTCAACAACACAGACGGGTCACTAGACAGTCAAAAGAAGTTGCTTTCACACTCACACAAACGCATCAAGGTTACTTACATCTTTAAACTGAACCAAGCCAAGATGACCAAGTTCATTGATGCAATTGTGGGCCGATTCTGTTTGAAAGAACAGCTGCACGAGGCACATCTCCTCACTGCGAAATAAAGAACCCATTCTGGAGAGCTGGAGATTGTTCTGAATAGTTTGGACGAATATAAACTGCTCACATATGGTTGAGCGGCAGTGATTGTCTGGTTTTTGAAAGTCAGTCTATTAAATGTCTGTCTGTGAGATCAATAGTGTACTTGCGTGGCCTCAGGAAGATCAATATCGACACCACAGCTGGAGCATCCGTACGGAATTATGATTAACCCTGCAGCAAAACACACATTTAAAAATGCTGTATGTATTGTAGAGCAAATGACCTTAAAGGACAATATTTGTTGCTGTGCCGAATGTTATGAATTTGAAAACTCTGACACAATGTACGATAAACTGTACAGTACACAGCAAAATCCCCAGTGTTAAATTAACACTGAGAGTGTGGATTATATAAACTCTGAGCAGAGTGTTAAATGAACACTGAAGCAGTGTTAAAGTTAATGAGATAATTAAGTGAATAATTGAGTGATAATTGAGCATCATTGAAGACACCTGATGTTAACAAGCAGAATCACTGAATGAGAAAAACAGAATTTTAAGTCACCATTATGGAGATTAGTGTTTGCTTTAGTTGGGCTCTTGACCCTTATTTCTTTAACTTTATATTTTGTTTGGCTGTTGTACATGAGTTATAACAGCCAGATGAACAAATAGAAAAGGTGATCTGATGGTGATGGTTGTGTTTTAACATAATCATTAATTCACAATCATTTAATCTGAATCACTGAATTCATATTTAATCTAATTTCTGAGTGAGGTTTACTTTAATAATTATAGCAGCAGTGACCTTGTGCAGCATAATATTCTCAATATCTGCAGAATATTAAAAACAATTTCTTAAAAGCTTTTCTTATATAATTGTTTACTTCTCTACAATGTTAAGACACACAGACATCAATAATTAGCCTGTGAATCTCAACAATGGTAACAGTTATAAAGCATGTTGCATTCTTGGTGCCACCAATCAAAACTCATTCATGGCTCCCATCATGCATTGCTGCATGAATAAATAATGAGCTTAGGTTCAGAGGTGATCTGTTTGCCACCATTGCTGAGATTAGTGTGTTAATTCTTGATGTCTGTGTATGCCTTTATAAAATATTTTTGGGATATTTTTAATTTTTTTTAAATCATTTTTCATTGAAAAGGTTAAAAATGTTTTGTCCTAAAATGACCATGCTGCTAAAATCCTTAAGGAATTTATGCTCTTGATGAGTTCAGCAATTCAGGTCAATTGATGATTGTGTTGAAACACAACCAACACCATCAGATCACCTTTTTTCATCTGGCTGTTATAAGTCACAGACAACAGCCAGACAAAATCTAAAGTTAAAGAATTAAGGGTCAAGAGCCCAACTAAAGCAAACACTAATCTCCATAATGGTGACTTAAAATTTCTGTTTTTCTCCTTCAGTGATTCTGCTTGTTAACATCAGGTGTCTTCAATAATGCTCAATCATCACTCAATTATTCACTTAATTATCTCATTAACTTTAACACTGATTCAGTGTTCATTTAACACTCTGCTCAGAGTTTATATAATTCTCACTTCTCGGTGTTAATTTAACACTCTCAGTGTTAATTTAACACTGGGGATTTTGCTGTGTATATAGCTATGAAACTATTTCTATTTTATTGGATTTCTTCTTCTATGACATTAAGATTAAGGCCTGGTTTCACAAACATAGGCTTAGATTAAAGGATTAGGTTCAATTAGGAAATGTTTTTTTAAATAGTGCATCAGAAAGAAAAAAAAAACATTACTGGTATGCATTTTGAGACATAACATTTTGTTTCCAATTTTTATTCACAGCTTTATTCTTCTTCATTTAATCCTCAGTTTGCTGATAGTTTTTTTGAGAGGGTTCAAGCATTCACACCTATGATGGAAATTGTTCGTCCTGTGAGATGGATTTAAATATGGAAGAGTTAGATAGAATTATCCAGAAAGCCCCCCTCAATAAAAGCCTGGTCCAGATGGACTGCCTTTCAAATTTTATAGGACCTTTTGGCAAGATATAAAAAAGCTTGTTTTGGAAGTTTTCAAAGACTGTGTAATAAAAGGTGAAGTAACTGAATCCATGAAGCAGGGTTTGATCACTTTAAAGCCTAACAAAGATTCTCTATACTTAGATAATTGGCGCCCAATTACCTTACTTAATTCGGATTATAAATTGTTAGCTTCTCTTTACGCAAATAGATTAAAACCATGTTTAGAAGAAATTATTTCAGTTTCCCAATCTGGCTTTATGAAAGGTAGGCATATAGCAAATAACATTCGGCTTGTTTTAGATATTTTAGATTACAATGAATTGATCAACGATAATGCAATCATTTTGTTTTTAGATTTTTAGGCCTTCGATACGGTCGAGCATGAGTTCATGTTTGAATCGTTGCGCAAATTTGGTTTTGGCCCTTCCTTTATTAGAATAGTTCAGACTTTTTACAAAAATATTTACAGCAATGTGTCATTGGTAAATGGTGTTTCTCCCCGGTTTACGATAGGGGCATCAGACAAGGGTGTCCTTTTTCACCTTTTTTGTTTCTATTAGTCACAGAGTTTCTTAATATTTTTATTACCCGCTGTGTAGATGTTCAGGGTATTGTTGTAGCTGAACATACTTTTCTAATTAGCCAACTGCACTGAAAAAAACGATGTGTTGGCTTTACTTAATTTTTCATGTAAACAGGTTCCACTGGTTGGACATAACTTTGTTTTGTTAAACAAACATAATTTGTTCATGTAACTTCAACATCATGGAAGTCATTTTAAGCCATCCAATCAAACTCTGAGCTGAGTGTTAAATGAACACTGAAGCAGTGTTAAAGTTAATGAGACAATTAAGTGAATAACTGAGTGATGATTGAGCATTATTGAAGACACCTGATGATAACAAGCAGAATCACTGAAGGAGAAAACCAGAATTTAAGGTCACCATTATGGAGATCAGTGTTTGTTTTAGTTGGGCTCTTGACCCCTATATTATTTACTTTAGATTTTGTCTGAGCTATAACAGCCAGATAATCAACTAGAAAATGTGATCTGTGGTTGTTGGTTGTGTTTTAACATAATCATTATATCACAATGATTTGACCTGAATCATTGAACTCATACAGATGCAAATTTCTGAATTAAGTTTATTTTATGGATTATAGCAGTATATATATATATATATATATATATATATATATATATAGATCACCTCTGAACTAGGGCTGGGCGATATATCGCACAATATTGTTATGTGCATCTAATCAGTAAAGCCGGTTCCTTGATTAGCAGTAAATCTCCTTCACCTGCTTTCAAATGGACGATATGATGCAGATATGAGTGTTAAATTAACACTCAAGAGTGTTAAAGTTAATGAGATAATTAAGTGAATAATTGAGTGATGATTGAGCATTATTGAAGAAACCTGATGATAACAAGCAGAATCACTGAAGGAGAAAATCACAAATTGTAAGCCACCGTCATGGAGATCAGTGTTTGCTTTAGTTGGGCTCTTGACCCTTACGTTTATTAACTTTATATTTTAATTAGCTGTTGCATCTGAGTAATAACCGCCAGATGAACAAAGATAAACAATTATAAAATGATGTTGGACATATAATGACATTCATCAGTTGAAGTTTATGTCTGTGATTTATTCTGTTGATTAGTATATAACTGAGATTCTGCAAAAATATCCAGAATGTTCTCAAAAGTTGTTTTTAAAAATATATATATTTCTTTAAGGCACACACAGACCTTAAGATTCAGTCAATGCTTCTCAACAACGGTGACGAGTAGAATATTCAAGTAGGAAAAGGTAATTACATAGACAATTCAGATCATAATTTATTCATACCGCAATGCATGATGGGAGACATTAATGAGTTGTGATTGGTGGCAACAAGGACAATTAATGTCACCACGATTGAGATAGACAGGCTGATTATTTATCTCTGTGTTTCTAAATAAATATTAGAGTGATTTGATCAGATTAGTTTTCTTAAATATTTTCTGTTATAAGAAAATACAGACGTGTTGTACAATCACTAAACTGTTGCTAGCAAGTTAATCCTGACCATCAGAATTACGAATTTTTTAAATTTTTAGATCACAGCATGATTATGTCAAAACATAACCAACACTATCAGATCAGGTTTCTTTGTTCATTTGACTGTTATAAATTAATAACAGCACAAAAACAAAATTTAAATATAAGTTTAAAGGATCAAGAGCCCAACTAAAGCAGACACTGATCTCCATAACGGTGGCTTACAATTTGTGATTTTCTCCTTCAGTGATTCTGCTTGTTATCATCAGGTGTCTTCAATAATGCTCAATCATCACTCAGTTATTCACTTAATTGTCTCATTAACTTTAACACTCAGCTCAGAGTTTGATTGGATGGCTTAAAATGACTTCCATGATGTTGAAGTTACATGAACAAATTATGTTTGTTTAACAAAACAAAGTTATGTGCAACCGGTGGAACCTGTTTACATGAAAAAATTAAGTAAAGCCAACACATCATTTTTTTCAGTGTGGTGGATGACACCTGTCTGTTTCTAAAAGATGAGAAACAGGTTCATGTTATTTTGGAAGCTTTAAAACATTTTCTAATGCTTCTGGTCTCACTGTTAACTGAAATAAAAGTGAAATCATGCCTATTCACAGTATTGAAAAAGGTCATATAAAGGCATTGAGGTTAAAAGCTCTGTTAGATATTTAGGCATTTTAACCCTTGTGCATCCTTGTGGACATTTTTGTCCTTTTCAGTTTTGTTTTTTTGATCACTTTGCCTGTGTTAAAGCTAACTGCAAAAAACTTGGCACAGGTGTGTATTTTTATTGGAATTTTACTATTTCACCGTCATTTTCTTAAAAAAATATTTTTTGCTTTAGGTACAAAAAATACTCCCTCTCAGCACCTTTTGGACAAAAATGTCCCCATTGAAACCCATTAAAACTGCCATTTTTAATCCCCGGTTCAGTTAACTATAAAAATTATGCAATCTTTGTTAAGAGGCTTTCATTCTGATGGCAAGGCTTCAAAATTTTATTTTTTACT